TTTGAACCGATAAAAAAGGACATATAATTGTCATATTTGAACTTTTAATACTAAACACAACGGAGAAAAATGATATTCATAGAAAAGAAAAATTTGATTTTAATCGATGAATGCAAATTGAAAGAAAAAAAAAACAAAAGAAAAATTAATTAATTAACTATATAACTAAAGATAAGAACGAACTATAATTTCACTTGATCATCGACAATTTGCGAAATCATTAGGATAGGGGATTAAATAATAATACAAAAAAAAACAAAATAATAGAAAAAAACCACGAGAGAAAGAAGCAAATTATAATGAGAATTTGAAATAAATAAAAAAAAAACAAATATATATATATATATATATATATATATATATATATACATATAAATAATATATAAAATATCTCTTCGAAGTTGCAACAATAATGCAATTGAGATTGTGAGTGCAATTAAAATTAGGACACGAGACGAGTTTTACGTATTAAAATAAAAATATAATTTTGTTGTCATCGTTTGCGATTATTACTACGAACGATTATTAAAACTGTAAAACGAATTACGGTTTAAAAATTAATTAATTTAAAAAAAAAAAGGAAAATAAATAAATAAATGAAAAGAATAAAAAAAAATTATAATGAAAAGAAACAAAGCGATTGGAATTTCATAAGAGGATAAAAAGAAAAGAAAATAATAATAATAAATGCAACAACATTTGTTTAGGATTTCACTGATTAGTATTAATAATCATGATTGATAGCCTTAGCTTGCCTAGACCTCCAAAGCGAGATTTATATACATATATATATTTTCAGTTTTCTCAATAGTTATCATTTTTTAAAAAAGAATTTACTAAATACATTGTACATAATAATAATAATAATAATAATAATAATAATAATAATAATAATAATAATAATAATAATATTAATATTAATAATAATAATATTAATATTAATAATAATAATATTAATTATGTAGATAGTACGACGATTTAGATAAATCTGTGTCTTTTTATGTATATAGTTAGTGGCTTTGATACATCGTGATGATTGTAAAGATATATATATATATATATATATAAAATATTGTTTATATATAATCATTATTATATTCTAGGCAAAACGATCGTATACGATTGATTTGTTGAATACTTAAAAATAAAAAAAATAAAAAAATAAGGGTACTATCAAATAGTATCTAACAAACGTTTTACGTTCTTCTTCGTTTGAATTTTTTGAAATAAAAATTAACCAAAACATGGAGATAAAAGAAAAGAGAAAAAATAAACAAAATTATCTTTCATTATTTTCCTTCGTAATATTTGATTTGTTATAATATAATTATTTTGTTTTCATTTTTTTTTCTCGTTAACCCTCTATAAACAAGCAGTAGGGCCTTTAAAAATTTGTCCACCTGGTATATATATATATATAATAAAAAATTTATTTTTATTTTAATCGTCAAAAATTATTATTTTTTAAAATCAACACGAACAAATAATTTTTCTTATATTTTATAATAAATCAATGTTATATTTAATATGTTATAAATAATATTATATCAGAATGTGTGTATATATCGGTGGGGGTGTTCAAAATTATGTCGTTGGAAATTTGTATTTCGAATAATAGAAAAAAAAAAAAAGAAAAAAAATTTATAGAGAAAAATTTCTGCAGAAAAATTTATTTGCAGAAAAAATAAAAACTTTGATATCTTGTTTAAAATAATTTTTAAATTCATAAAAAAAAAAACAACAACAACAGAAACAAAAAAGAATATTCGATAATAGAGGGTTAATTAATATTCTTCGATTGAGATAAATTTTGTTAAAAGAGTAAAATTATTTAAAAAGACAAAAAAACAAAAAAAAACAATAACAAACTAATAAACTAACGTCAGTCCAATTTCCTAATCGCTCGCGTTTAGGTTACTTTAAGTAAGTTTAGAACATCACAAATATATATATATAAATATATAGAGAGAGAAAAAAGAAAGAAAAAACAAACAAAATGAATTAAAAGCGAATTCAGGAATGTGACGATGATTATGATGATAACATATAAAATATCGTTATGGAAGGAGAAAAAAAATCGTGAAAATAATAAAATTCAATAAAACATTCTCCCTTTTTCTCCATATCATACTAATTACCCGATAATAACGTCCTTTTACCTTAAGGATCCTTCGTTATCACGATCAAATAAAAAAAAAAAAAAATATATCTTTCACTTTGCATAATAATAAAAATTGTTTTATGTTTCGATAAAAAGTTACCTACGTTACTAAAAATATATTTTTCGTAAGAAATGTTCTTTTCCTTTTCTTTCTTTTTTTCATTCTTTTTCTTTTCATCAGCAATCTAAAAACCAAAATTCCTTTTCATTCCTAACTGTATAACAAAAAAATCACATTTTTCATTAAACCAATTTAATTTTAATTTATATCAAAATTGCACGGGTACCTTGAATTACCTCGTTATATTTGTATTCTTTTAAATATTATAAGAAATAAGAAACAGAAAATAATAACAAAACAAAACAAAACAAAAAATAAACAAAATTATTCGTAAATAAGACAAATATTTTTTATATCCGACCAATCAATCAATCCATTCTCTCTCTCTCTCTCTCTCTTTCTCGTTCTTGCTCTTTATTTCTCTCTCTCTCCCTCTAACATTCTAATTGTCTAGATATTAAAAAATAAAACAAAACAAATTCACACATATATTATTAAAATATATATATATATATATATATAGATATATATCTAATATTGAATTTGCTAATATTTCAGAATGGATCTACGAGTATCCAGAAACGATGGTCGATCCATTATCAATCGGAAGGAAATCGAGAAGAATAGAAGCATCTAACAACAGCAGGATGACTACGAGGAACACCGGTAACAAATTCTCCTGTCCGCGTTGCAATCGTAGCTACAAAGTGAAGAGATCATTAAGACGTCATCTAATCGTCGAATGTGGCAAGGCACCAATGATCGGCTGTCCATATTGTGCTCATCGTAGCAAGTACAAATCAAGCATGACAAAACATGTTCGTCATGTTCATCCAAATCATGCATATCCTTAAATTATCCCTAATTGTTATCTTATTATCCCCATTTTAACTCTTTGGGTACATTTGACTAGTGAGACTCGTTATTTGAATTTAAGAAGCTTATATATATATATATATATATAAATATTTTTTTTTTGTCTATTTTGTTTTATTTATATAATTATTTAGATTTTGTAATTGAAATGTAGTTTCAAAAATATATTTATATCACCAATATAAATATATTCCAAATAAAATGTATTACTTTTGCATATTAATCCATATGCATAAAAACCCTAGTAGCACAAAATATTGCAAAATATTGCAAAATATTGAATACATATGTATTTAATATTAAATACACATTTTGTGCTACTAGGGAATCTTAAAATAATTCAGTACTCAAGGGGGTAATCTTCGACTCATTCCTTTAAAAACCCAATCTCACCTCTAATCCATCTATCCTAAAAACACGAGATGATAATGATGATGGTGATGAATCATGTTGATCATAATGACGGTGATCATTGTTTTATCTTATCTTAAATCAATGACTCATTGATATAACAAACAAAAAATTATAAAATAATGTTGACTGATCCAAAGTGATTGAACGAACGACTTTATTTGTGTACTGCACTGCATTGCTGATTTTTTTTTTTTTTCTTCAGTGTTTTAACGTCGAAAATATTTATTTCAAATAAAATAAACAAAGTAATATTGAAAATAAATTGACAAAAAAACAAAACAAACAAAAAAGAGGTAAAAGGAAATTATATAATGCCGAAGAGAAATGTGGTAATAATTTTTGGAAAGTAGTTATGTAACAAAATTACCTAAAAATGATTACATGGGTGCGTGTGATTTTGTATACTTGTAAAATCTGTGTTTTTCATTCTTTTTTTTTCTTTTTTTTTTTTTTTCAAATCTGATAATGAAAGGGTATATTCTTACAAACAAATGCGTTTATAAGATTATACATCATTTTGTTGAAAGATCTGTTAATTCTGATTGATATGAAAAACCAAAAGATGATTAATTTGTTAATATTTTTATACATTTTATTTTTTTTTAATTTTTTTTTTTTTTTTAAATACGTTATCATTACTATCTTATTATATATCAATATTTTACGGATTGGAACTTTGTTAATGGTTACACGAAATTAATGGTTATTTCGTTGCATGTTTTCGGATATTCTCATTGGGTGATATTAACGCAAAAAGAAGAAGAAAAAAAAACAAAATTTCGAAATTAAACACGAGAGACCAATGAGAAATAATAATTTTTTTTTATATATTTTTTATCTTGCATCTTTTTTGCATTGTGTTTGTATACTCATATATATAGATATATGTTAAAGCGTATTATTCAAATAATTCATAAAATAATCTCAGCTAAATTGTATATATTTTTAATTAGAGGAATAAGCAAGTAACGTTAAAGTATCATAAATTGAAATTTAATTCTCAGATAATTTATTAAAGTATAAAAAAAAAAAAAATAAGTACATATAACTACGAGAAATGATATAGAAAAAGTATTGAAAAATACCATAATAACAATATATAATTTGAACAATTTTAAGTATAGTTATTTCGTGCGAGAGTAGTATTTATTTTTTTAATGAATTAATTGAATTATACGCTTTAACGATAACCATATATACATCGTACATATGTATATATTCTTTTTAATTTTTTTAATTTTTCTATTTTTTAATATTCGTTTTCTTTTTTCTTTTTTTATCTTTCTCTTTCTCTTTCTCTCTCTCTCTCTCTCTCTCTCTCTCTCTATCTATCTATCTATCTATCTCTATCTTTATCTCTCTCTCGTTGAATCAGAATCTTGTAGATGATGTAAAAAAAAAAAACTTACAAAATATATAAAAGTTGTGTAAAAAAAAAAAAATAATTATTAACGCATACGATCATACGTGTTTACAGATTACGAGAAAATGGGAAGATGGTATGTGACTGTACAAAGCAATCATCAAGGTAATCGTAGAAGATCGAGAGGCCAAGGAAGATTCACATGCGGTACCTGCGATCGTCGTTATCATCAGGAAAAAAATTTAAGAAGACACCTTACAAACGAATGCGGCAAACAGCCTAAACATCAATGCACATTTTGTCCATACAAAGCAACATACAAATCGTATCTACACGTTCATATGATGAAACATAGAAAACGTGGATTCGTACCACGTATTAGTACTACTACTACTACTACTACGACGACTAATAATATTAATTTGGATCAGACGAATATGAGTAGTGAAAACGATCTTATGTGAATTTAAATTAATTAGTTTTTTGTTTCTTTTCTTTTTTTTATTGACGAGAGAAAAATTGAAAATATGAACATAAGAGAAGTGTATGATCATCATCATGGTGGTGTGTTCTGCTTCTTCTTTTTCTTTTACTTACGAATAAATAAATATCAGGTTACGTAGGATAATAATAAAGTTAAAGGAAGAATATTATGAAAACATTAATAATGAAATCATGGTGAAATTATTTTTTTTTTGCAAAATGATATAAGATCATTAGTATTAATTACTACATACGCTTCCTAACTTGTCCCGTTTATACGATTTTAACCATGAAAATTATGATGAAACCCATACGAAAAAAAAAGAAATTGTTTCATTCCTAATGATATTCCCAACATATTATCCGCCACGGTACGTAAATTTTACGAATGTTGTATTGTGTTGTTCGTTAACCACAGGTCCAATATTAGATTTAATTTTACAATAAATTATGAAATATTATAATGAAACCATTTATTATTCATGAAAATTAATATTAATGAAATTATATTATTATTGATGATTAATAATGAAATTTATTATTATTGAAAACATTTGTAATAAAGGTTTAATCCCGAAGGATCAAACAATTCATCAAAAAGTCATAATTTATTCATCTTTGTTATTTATTTGTTGTTGTTATTTTCTACGTATTATTATTTCTTTGTCCGTCATACTAACGTGAACTACGAGAGTGTTTGTGCTAAGTTACATATCAGTTGACTTGTTGTTATCAGTTGTGACGATGAAACAAGGATGATATATGTTTGAAGGTTCTACGATTGGAAGTCTACTTCTCCTTCTACTACTTCTACTTCTACTACTACTACTACTACTTACATTCATTCGCTGATAGTACTATAATCGAATCGTTATTTGAAAAATATTAACCGGAGAACAATGAATTTGTTTGTTTCAGCCGACACGAAATATCCAATGGCAAGATTAAAACACACCTGCAAGACCTGTGGTAAAAGTTACAAACACAAGCATCATTTGAAGAGGCATCACGATTTCGAATGCGGCATTGAACCGAAATTTCCTTGCGATTTTTGCGATCATCGTACAAGATACAAGGATAGTTTGACCAAACACGTATTGGCACGTCATCAACATCTTCTAGAACAAAATACTACACAATATGGCGGTGGCAGCGGCGGATATCTTCATCGTCAAACTTCCTACGATTCTAACGCAAGTGGGGATTTCAATTCCAATCAAAACGTTCAAGGATCATCATCAGTTTTCGTTAATTATTCTGAATTTTCTTAGAAAAGAACAAACAAACAAAAAAAAAGAAAAGAAATAAAAGAACAACACACGCATACACTATCATCCATCCATCATGAATGAAATACGAAATGTATTTTTACACGATTTTATTTATCTTAATTTTGCTTCCTTTTTATTTTTTATTTTATATTTATTATATTGTATAGGATTATTTTTGTTCTCGCATCTGGGGGGAAAAAAAAGATAAATATACAGGGGTGGTGAATGTGTTGTAATTGATTTTTTGTTTTGCTCTTCTTTTCTTTTATTTCTTCTTTTTTTAAACTAAAGAACAAATAATTAGATACAAGCGTGTACGATCCTATTGTGTTTCTAATTAGAAGAATAATATAAATAAATAAATAATCATAATAGTAATAATAATAATAATAATAATAATCGTAATCATGATAATAATAATATAATTAATATAAAAACCGATCTCTGAAAGATGTGATAATAATTCAGGAATGACAATTATGTTTCTATTATCGATTATTAAATAAAATAAATTGAATCTTCAAAGTGTAATAACCCATTTTAGTAATGACAATGTCTTATATCAACGAGTCTACAAAAAACAACAAAAATCTAACTATGACAAATTTATAAGTTTTGTTTCAATCGATCCCAATAACCAAAAGAAAAAAAAAATGTGACGAAAATTTGTTTCAAAAGTTTTCAAATAATGTTTTGTTCAATAAAAGTGTCCTCATCATCATCATCATCATTATTATTTAAAAATGTTTAATTGATATAAATGATAATTTGTAATATTTTTAGGGTATGTTTGTGAAGTTGTACATATGTGTGTGAGTGAATGAATGATCAAAATAAAAAAAAAAGATAAAAAGAAAATAATTGTTGACAAAGTTTATCATAGATATTTCTTTATTTTTTCTTTACAGATAAATCAAGAATACTAAAAAGAAGAAGAACGACTACACCAATAACAACAAAAGAAAGAACGAGCGACAATTCGTCTAATTGGATGTTATCAACATTACCATCAACTACGCCTTTTGCTATGCACACGAAATGTTTACGATCTATGACATCTACGCCATATTTAACCGAACCTAAAGAACAATATGGTACTCGTAAATATATTTGCCAAAATTGCCAAAGAAAATTCACATATAGGGCTTCTTTTCTTAAACATCAGAAATTCAAGTGCGACAGCAATAAACAAGAAAAACTTACTGTAATAAAACAAGAAAATCCTTCTGTAACAGAACAAGAAGAACTTTCTGTAAGAAAATATAAAAAATCTAAACTGGTTAATCCTAAAAATTTGACTACGACTGATGCAACTGCTACTTTGCATTCGGATATCGTGGGTAAAAAAGAAAGTAAGCACATTTGTCTAAATTGTAATAAATCTTACGTGTATCGAACGTCACTTTGGAGACATAGAAGATTCGAATGCGAAAATAAACGGCAATTTCTGTGTTACGTTTGTAAAAAAAGATTTTCTCAAAATGGAACCTTGCGTCGTCATATGCAATGCAGGCATTAAAATTCAGTTTTTTTATTGCTTTTTTTTTCAATTATTTACATTTATATCTTTCTTTTTTTTTTCTTTCCATTATTTAATAACATAAAATAATGTTATTAAAATATAATATTTATAACCAATCGTTTTTATTATCGAAACGCTTATTGTATTTTTGTTTTCGTGCTCCTGCAGAAAATGCTTCTTTTTTTTCTCGCTTTTATAAAATATATTTTGTAAAGTGTGTAATTGGAGAGAAAAAGGAAAAAAGAAACCCTAAAAAATTATCGATGGGATAGAATTTATGTATATGTTAAATGCGTTTAGTATTTTTTTTTGTTTTTCTTTATTTTGTTAGCCACAAATAGGACATAATACCATGCCCTATTTGTATTTCTTAGAAAAATAATGAAATAAATAAATATATAGGTATAATTATTATATAAAACGATCTCTGCAAGATGAGAGAATAATTCAGGAATGACAATTATTTTTCTATTATCGATCATTAAATAAAATAAATTGAATCTTCAAAATGTAATAATAAATTTTAGCAATGACAATGTCTTATATCAACGAGTCTACAAACAAAAACAAAAATCTAACTATGACAAATTTATAAGTTTTGTTTCAATCGATCCCAATAACCAAAAGAAAAAAAAAATGTGACAAAAATTTGTTTCAAAAGTTTTCAAATAATGTTTTGTTCAATAAAAGTGTCCTCATCATCATCATCATTACTATTTAAAAATGTTTAATTGATACGAATGATAATTTGTAATAATTTTAGGGTATGTTTGTGAAGTTGTACATATGTGTGTGAGTGAATGAATGATCAAAATAAAAAAGGAAAAAAAAAGATAAAAAGAAAATAATTGTTGACAAAGTTTATCATAGATATTTCTTTATTTTTTCTTTACAGATAAATCAAGAAAACGAAAAAGAGTAAGAAAGACTACACCAGTAACAACAACAACAGAAAGGACGAGCGACAATTCGTCTAATTGGATGTTATCAATATTACCATCAACTACGCGTCTTGCTATGCACACGAAATGTTTACGATCTATGACATCTACGCCATATTTAACCGAACCTAAAGAACAATATGGTACTCATAAATATATTTGCCAAAATTGCAAAAGAAAATTCGCATTGAGGGCTTATTTGCTTAGACATCAGAAATTCGAGTGCAACAGTAATAAACAAGAAAAACGTACTGTAACAAAACAAGAAAAACTTTCTGTAAGAAAATATAAAAAATCTAAACTTGTTAATCCTAAAAATTTGACTACGACTGATGCAACTGCTACTTTGCATTCGGATATCGAGGGTAAAAAAGAAAGAAATCACATTTGTCTAAATTGTAATAAATCTTACGTGTATGGAACGTCACTTAGGAGACACATAAGATTCGAATGCGGAAAGGAACCGCAATTTCTGTGTCACGTTTGTAAAACAACATTTTCTCAAAAAGGAAACTTGCGTCGTCACATACGAGTAATGCATTAAAATTTAGTTTTGTTTTTGGTTTTTTAAAAATTATTTACACTTATTACTTTCTTTTTTTTTTTCCTTTTCATTATTTAATGACATAAAACAATGTTACTGAAACATAAGATTTATAACTAGTCGTTTTTATTTTCGAAACGCTTATTGTATTTTTGTTATCGTGCTTCTGCACAAAATGCTTCTTTTCTCGCTTTAGTTTTATTTGTTTTATTTTTCTTTATTTTGACATCCAAAAATGAGACATAATACCATGCCCTATTTGTATTTCTTATAAAAATAATAAAATAAATAAATATATAGTTATAATAATAATTATAATAATAACAATATTAATAATTAAGATCAATCTGTTCAAGATGTGTTAATAATTCAACAATGACATTATGTTTCCATTATTCGATTATTGAATAAAATAAATTTTATATTAACAAAAAAAAATAAAAATAAAAAATGTAATAAAACATTTCTGGATTAAGAATAATTATATTAGCGAATTGAAAAATCTAATTATAACATAATATACTGTTTCCCCAGGTTACATCAAATGATCTACCAGGTTTGAAGATGTTCGAAACAAATCGTCAAGTGTCCAAATGTTTTGATCAATAAAAGTATTATCATCATCATTAATTGTATAAATGATACGAATGAGAGATTTTTATGAACGTACGTTTGAGAAAGTGTGCGATGAGTGTGTGAGAATGAAAAAACAAACAAACAAACAAACGTCAGAAGTTAGAAACGATGACGATGAATAGAAAAATTTTCACAAAAAATAAACAATAAAAAAGAAAGAAAAGAAAAATGAACTAGAGACGATACTATAATCGATATTTTTTGTATTTTTGCTTTACAGATACACCAAAATCGTCAGAATCAGTACTACTACTACAACTACCATCAAGTACTTCAACTCTATGTGCAACATCAACTTACAGTTCGTCCAATTGGACGGTACCAACATTACCAACGAGTTCACGTGTTGCAATGTATACTACTAGATGTCTTCGTTCGATGACTATGACAGATGACCATGAACGTACTACGGGAGTATGGGGTTCGCGTAAATACATTTGCAATGATTGTCAAACGACATTTACGTTAAAGGCATCATTGGTTAGGCACAAAACTTTTGAATGTAACAACAAACAACAAAATTATCATCGTCAAGGAACAACGAACAATCAAAAAGTGATCATCAGTAATCAAAGTTGTACGACAACGTTAACAGGTGTATCAATTGTAACTACTACGTCATCGTCATCTTCATCGTCATCTTCCTCTTCGTCATCGTCGTCGAAGAAAACAACGACTATTGCTACTGCTCCCAGTATGGCTGATATATTAGTTGGAAAAAAAAGATCAACCAGTAGGCACGTTTGTTCTAAATGTCACAAATCTTATGCATTTTTCACGTCATTATGGAGGCATCAAAATTACGAATGCGGAATAGAACCACAATTTAATTGTCCAATTTGTGCAGCCAAATTTGCACAGAAAAGTAACTTGGATCGTCACGTAAAACATAAACATTAGATTTTACATTCGTTCCTATATTATTCTTTATTTTTTTATTTTTTTATTTTTTTAATTTTTTATTTTTTTCCTTAACTATATATAATTACTCCTTACTTGCTAAAAATGTATTTCACGCTTTTATTAATTATGTTTTTTATTTGTTTTATTCCCACAGAATTTTTTTGTCATCCATTTCGTTTTAAGGATTTCTGTRCTAAGTTTGTGATCGTTCAATTTTTCAGATAGACGATAAACAATTTTCTTTTATAATTTTCATTTTTATTCTTTCTTTGTGTTTTAGATTTTAGTTTTTCTTTTAAAAACTAATTTAGCTTATAATCCATTGTTTTTATTCTATAAAAATGAATGCTTTTATTTAATATTTCATTCGTTAAGGTTTTTACATTTAAATCAGGATATTTTGATAAGATAATTTAGCTCCTTTTAATTATATCAATGTGTAATCATCTCTTAGATCTGTAGATCATCTCTTATTTTTTTGTTTCTAATAGGCAAAAACAAATAACACAAAAAAATAAAAAAAAATAAAAAAATTTTCAAATATGTATTATATTTATAAATAATATAGTCAATGTATGCAAGTGCCGTGTTATGCGTGACTCTTTAACTAGAAAATATAATAAAATTTAGATACCTCTTCATTAGATTAATATACTAATTTTCTATTAGATGATAGTTTTTAATTGATTTATTATTAGTAATATTAGTAAGAATATAAAAAAAAAGGAAAGTAAAAAATAAATTTTGCTGATTATTCGCCAAAGAACAAAATGAAATATAAAAAATACTAATTTAAAACGAAACCGGTAACAATTTTTTTATATTGTTGTTTCTCATGTCGTATTATTATTATTATTATTATTATTATTATTATTATTATTATTATTATTATTATCATGAATTAAAATAAATAAATATTGGCGTGAACAAATGAAAATAAAAATTGTATGTACGGCTTATGATGATAGTTTATAATAAAAAGAAAAAAGTAACTCATATACATGAGAGATAAATAAATAAATAAATAATGAAGAAGATAAGAAGGAAAAGCGATAAATTAAAGAAATAAAGTAATCAAGTGTGGACACAAAAAGAGGAAGAAGAAAAATCAAATAAATAATAGCCCAGAAAAGAAAAATTTATTAACATTTATTATTTCCATTAGATTTTATATTTATCATTAAGTGACGTATTCTTATAATTAAAGATTATCCGTTATTGAAATAAAATAATCATTTGGTATTTTATGATTGTTATATAGGCTTATCTGCGTAACTTGTTTTTTTTTCAATTTTTCTTTTTTTTTTTTTACAAATAAAATAAAACGAATAATGAGGCGCGTCGATCGCTTGAAGGGAAAACAGCGTGCGTGGATGTAGTGTGAGAAAATATAGTTTGAATAAGTGTAAAAGTGATTAATAGAGGGAAAAAATAGAGGAAAGTGAGGTGGAAAAAGGGCTTAGTGGAAAGAGATAATAGGAGTGGAAATTAGTTAGAAGTAGAGGTGAAAAAGGAGTGAAGTATAAAATGTAGTGGAGGTTAGAGTGACTATAGAAAAGAAGAGCGTATGGAGATAGAAGCGCCAAAAAACGACAACGGGAGGGAGAGTGGTTTGAGGGAAAGTGAGATAGGACGGTCGGTAAAGAAGGGTTCTGAAGGGAGCGCAGGAGAGGTAAGTATGGAAAAAGAGGAAAAGAAGAAGGACAAAGGGAGACCGAACAGGGCGCTGACCTGGTCTAGGCACAGATCAGAGAGTACAGGAGACATAAGAGAGATGATATCGAGAAAGAGAGAGTTGAATTCGCCGGAGGAGAGGGAGAAGGTGACGAAAAAAAGTACAGGGCAAATGGAAGGTGGGGGGTCAGTAATGGGGGGGTCACAGGAAAAATATGCGAATAAGACGGACAGAGAGTTGATGTTGATTATGATGGATAAAATGACGGAGGTGGAGAGAGAGATAAAGAAAGAGGTGGCAAAATTGAGGATGGAGATAAGGGAAGAAGTGGCGAGGGAGATTGAAAGGAAGGGAAAGGAGTGGTAGAGAAGAAGTCAAGAGTTAGAAGTAAGACTAGAGGAAAAATTACAGGATTGGAGCAATAAATTACAGGAATGGGAGAACAATACAAAAGAAGGAAACAAGGGGGTTGTGGGAGGCAGTAGTGAGTTAAGAATGGAAGCAGGAAAACAAACGGAGGTAGAGAGATGGGTAAAAGAGGTAGAAAGAAGATGTGAAAAGTGGGAGGCGGAGGAAAGAAAAAGATGTGTAATAATAAGGGGGTTAAAAAGAGATAGAAAAGGTTTGGAGAAAGAGATGRAGGCCTTTTTTAAGCGAAAATTGGACACAGAGGTGAAGGTAGAAGAAGCGAATCTGATGGGGTATGAAAAGAAAATTATAAGAGTGAAACTGAGCAAGAGAGAAGAAAAGGAGAGTATTATGCAAAATAAGAAGAAGTTAGGAGATGAACCGGTATATATTGAGCATGACAGATCAAGGGAGGAGAGAATGGTTCAAAGAGATATAGTGAACCAGGCGAGGGAATTAAGAAAGCAAGGAAGGAAGGTGATAATACGTTATAGAAAATTGGAAATAGACRGAGTGTGGTATAGATGGAGTGATAGAGAAAAGAAGCTAGTGAAGGAGAAACAGAGTTTTTATATGACAGAGGAGAACAGGAACTAGGTGRAAGGGAGAGAAAGAAGAGAAACAAGAAGAGGCAAGAAGGAGGAGGGAAAAAACAGAAGGGAAAAAGTATAGAGACAAAGGAAGGAAGAAGGGTGAGAATAATGGCATGGAATGTAGCAGGGATAAGGAACAAGGAGAAGGACTTTTGGGAATATTTGGAGAAATTTGATATATTAGGACTGCAGGAGACGTGGTTAGACAAGAAGGAGTGGGAGAAGACGGAGGATTCATTTCCAAGGAATTACAACTGGATAGTGCAAGAGGCGAGGAAGGATAAAATGAAGGGTAGATACAGGGGTGGAATGATTGCTGGAGTAAGAAAGGATTTAGAGATTGTGAAGGCAGAGGCAGGTAAGGAGGGAATGATACAGCTTGAGATAAG